CTACGTGTGGACTAGGCCTGAACTTTGTTGAAGCAGGGTGACCTCTAAAACGTGCTGGATAGTGGCTCTCCAGGACCAGGGTTCCCTACTCCTGGTTATGAGTCAATAAAAGGAAAACCAAACGTCCTGAGGGTGGTGGTTTAGTTTCATCTGGTAGTCCTAAAATGATTGGGACACCTGTTGTCTTTGCATTGACATGATCTCTAATGGTGTCTCGCTCTGCGTCGGTAAGGTTTAATGTGGAGTTTATCCACCTCTTGCAGCTATAACCGCATCGACTTCTCTATCAAAGCCTTTCCACACGGTTTAGGAGAGTAATCCTAACCCTTCTTCCAGATGAGGTGTTCGGTCAGGGCAGCTTTAACAAACAACGATTTGGTTGGGTGTCGCCAATTCAAATTCACTTTTATGTGAATCTTGGTTAAAAAATTCACAGAAGGTTCAACTTTTTCCAAAGGAAGGAATCAGCAACAGCCATGGCCTCACGTAGCACCGCTGGAAAGAACACGGCTGATTATTTACAAAAGAGCAAACGTTTTAATCTCCAGTAGAAAAGACACCTAAATGAGAAAAGCTGGTTATTCTCCAGTTAAGGCACTTTTCACACAAATCCTGCGAATAGTATTTTAACGCACAATTAATGTCAAAACTGCTTTTTAATGACTTTTATTTTAGTAACACATGAAAAACACAAACTGGGTTTTTCTTGGAGGAGTGCACGTCACACAGAACCTTTCAGTTTTCAACTAAGATCAGTTTACATTTGACAAACTAAAACACTTATAAAAAAATCACACGCTAGTGCACATCTGCAGGCATTCAGAGCTTGTGCTTGGGATGACTCGGCTACTAACACACCAGATTCTGGCAGCGATAAACTCCAGAAACATTTCCTCCATCCTAAAGAGAAGCGTTTAGCTGAGAGTGTGTGGCAGCAGTACCTCCCCAAAGCTGTAAGTGTCTAGTCTGTCATCAGAGGCGTATCTGTGGAACAGCTGGTAGGAGGAGGATATGAGGTCAGGCTGCTGGACCTCGTATATGGCCTTGACCTTTGGTAGAGCAGCTAGGTCCTTATAATCTAGGATCTTATTCTCCACTCTGGCCTGGAGAGAGGACACACATCCCACCACCGCAGACAAAAGACAACAGCAACAAGACCTGACACATCAACCACGTGGACAAATGCACAGGGACAGATTACAACGTAAAGTCTACCTGAGGTAGCAAACACGTCATTCAGCTGAGAGAGGACCGAGGGGGCAGCGGGCGCTGATGAAGCGCACACACACACACAAGCACAAACAGACGAGTGAGAACTAGGCAGCACGATAAGCTGTTGACCTTGGGGAGCTCGGCTTATGTGAGCCGAAAAGCAGAGGAAGCAAAGGCAGTCAAAGTTAGAGAGCCGCGGAGGAGGCAGCATGAACTACACGTGCGCTTACACTGCATTTCTCCCCCATCCATCACCTTAAACAGAAAGGTCATTGATTATGAGAGAGGAGCAGAGCAGGGAAGGGCAGAGAGCAGAAACTCCTGCATGTACACACACACACACACACTGGCATGCTAGTGCGGCAATCATGTACAGCCACAGCTTCAGCTCGAGGTCTGCCTACATCTCACGAAGGTCGATGTCTGTTTCAGATGGCTGTAAAGTTCTGACCTGCTGATTACTGACGTTAGAATTGATCTTGAAAAATCTTCTAATTTAAACATAATTTTTTAAAACTTCTGATTAACTTGGAAGTTTTAATTCTGAAAGTAAAAAAAAAAACAGAAGATCCAGTTGCTAACGTGAGGTAAAAATGTGTTGAAGGTGAGTTACTAGTGCTCGAACAATCGTGCATTCACGGCCGCAAACAACAGTTTTGAGTTTCAGGGCAGCGGATCACTGATCCAGCGGACTACTGACGGGTTTTGGATCACAGGCCGACTTTTCCCTTAAACACCTAAAAATCTGTTGCATCCAGAATTCTAAATATTCACTTGAGATAAAACATCTGAGCCAATTAGAGTTTGGAAATATCTGCCGATATAACTTCCTGTTAGGGGTTTAAAAGTCAATACAAATGTGCAAAAATTCACCCTGGAAGAGCGAGGCTGCAGACGGCAGAACAGGCCATAGTTGCAGGCTCGTGTTTCTGGTGTAGCTAATCACGCTTAAAGGGTAAATCTGGCAGCGAAGAGAGAGCGGAAGCTGCAAAGTCGGAGGTTACTCACACATATAACTCGACTGGGAGAGCCTATGGAGGAGCCCGGAGGGGAGATGGAGGTCTCCGACAGGCGTCTGTGCTGTGAGGATCAGGCAAACAGCAGTAAGCAAATGACACACTCAGGCCATTTTTCCTCCATCTTTATTCAGAACTCACTCTGAGTCTCCGCTCTGCTCTCGCCGCCTGCTTGCATAAAGGGTGCCACACCTCGCATCCTGATGAGGGAAGGAATCACGATGTAAAGACGGGCATCGGCGCATTTCACCTGCATCGGTTTGTGTGACAGGTGTGCCGTTTTACCTGTCAGGTACATTTCTTCTCCCTCCTTGAACGTGGTGTTACAGCGGGAGCATCGGGCACAGGATGGATGGTAGTGTTTCCCTCCTGCCTGAAAAAAAGGAGGCGTGTGACTGAACATAAATTATCACAACAAAGAGCCTCGTGGACTCGAGCCGGTGTCTCTGTATGTTTTTCTTCTGTGCATCAGCTGATCACTACTGACCTCAGAATGTTAGGTCATTGGAAAAACCAGCGTTTGTCTGTGTGGTTCATGCAGAAACACACAGAAGCACATTACATAAGGAGAGGCACCGAGGGCACCTTGAGGTAACACATTCGAGCACACACATGTAGGGTACAGATGGAGCACATGCTGCAACCTCGAGCGCACAGACTGAGTTCATGGAGCAGATTTTTCTCACACATCCCTGCAACGCTTGATGGCGGAGGTGTGGCCACCTCACCTCTGCCTCTGACACATCATTAGAGAATCTATTAATAGAAACATCGCTGGCATGCAGACCTGAACTCCATCAAGCGAGCGGGCACGTGTAAGCGTACTTTATGTAATTTCACGCTGCAGTGATTTTCCTGGTTTTTATGTGATCGGCAGACATCGCCAGTGAGCTACATATGAGATGCATCTTAAGCCCTGGCTTGTGCAGCTACAGGAGCTGCTCGGGTTAATCTGAGCGGAAAAACAGAAGAGAAGCATCTACGATCAAAGCTTTCCTCCCAAAGGCCAAACTCACTATGAAGATGGCAGAATGAGGGAAACACACACGGGTGATGTATAATGCTTTTCACAAATATGTCTCTTAAATTCAGTGAAGCCTGTGGCGTGTTATCTAGTGATATTTATACATACAAATGTATTTCTTGGCAGCTTTACTCTGTTTTGTGTTACATAGTTGTGATGTTTCCCCCCAAAATTCATCAGCAGCGACCATCTTTTATGCCGTTTTGTAACCTGAGCTAATTTACTGTTAGCAAATAATAAAGCACAATCCCACAATGTATTACAAGACCTTGCAAAATCATTCAGAGCACCAAGTGTATGTTTTGACTTCAGCAAAGCTACAATGGCCCTAACGTACAGCTCTCAGTGTAAAACCGTGCTGTAGCCATGTTTGTCTGCTGTGCTGATTAGCTGTGGCACTTGTGCACGTGCCTGCACGGAGAGTGTAAGTCGGTTTTGACAGATGTAGTCAGCATTTGTTATGAGGCAAACCAGCCATGTGCTGCATCTCTAACCACTGCATCAGTACGCCATCAGAACACAAGAGGAGGAAACGGCAGTATGTCTGTGAACACACACACACACACACACACACACACACACACACACACACACACACACACACACACACACACACACACACACACACACACACACACACACACACATTCAAAGAGAAGAGACAGAGAAGAAATAGAAAGTTGTGCAAAAAGGCTGACATATCCCCGTGTCTATAAATAGCCCAGAGAGGCTGACGGTCAGGAACAAAGCACTTTACACCAACTACTCTGACAAGCAGAGGACCACAGGGACAACCAAGGTGTGTGTGTGTGTGTGTGTGTGTCCAGCAACCACGGACACGAGACATCCTCCAGAAAGTTTAATTAGCATCTACACTTAATAACTTTTGTTGTATTTTACCCTCTACTACCTTCATTAGTCACACCCATCTTCGTCTCCGCTCACTTCTTTAGTGTAAAACCACAAATGGGGGGGGGTTCTTTCTTATTAATCCCTGTAGAATTCGCAGCACGATGTCTCTCCTCCAACAGCTTTCCCCTGTGGTCTATGGAAAGCTTTATTTTCTAACATAACTCGGCAAAGCATTTCTCTTCCCCAGTAAACGTTGTCATCTACACAACTTCAAGAAGGAACTCTAAAAATCGGGTTGATGGGCTCTGATGTCAGAGCAGGACCAGCATCAGCACCAGCTGAATCTGGTTTGGTTTAACAAAGTCAAACAAACTATTTATCAACACTCACATCTTAAGTCGCCCTCTCCCTAAAGCTCGGCTGGGTTTAGTCGGAGCCGAGGATGAAAAGCTGGTTTCTGATTATGCGGATTGCTTTCTTGTGTGCAGCTAATTCTCTGCCTTCATTACATCTCTCTGACATCTCACCTCCAGAACCTGTCCGCTTATGTATCTGCTGCAGGTCTCACATTTCACCCCAAACTGGGCATGGTAATCCGCTTCACAGTATGGCACTCCGTCCCTGCAACAGGGAAATAACAGCTGTGATGCACATCTGAGACAGAGGGCTTCAGAACAACACAAGAGTTGGTTTTCACAGAGTAAGTGGCGTCAGATGTGTCTGAAGTAGAATTATAAGCATTTCTAATTAGTTTTCAAATGCTTTCGTTGACAATGAAATGAAGTTTATTCAAAGAGTAAATATTTGTGCTGTTGGTTCATCTTTGTCCAGGACCTCTGAACTTCAACATGCTTTCATTAACCTCCGAGCCCAATGCTGACTAATGGTAGCCTGCAGTTGAATAATTGTTACATGTTTCCGGCCACAAGATGGCCTCAGTGGCTTCTGCCTCGCCAGTCTCCCGGTGCCCAGCGGTATTTTAATCCCGTTTTTAACTCATTCACTGCCAATGACGACTAAAGTCGTCATTTGCATTTTTTTACTGTTTGAGCATCAGAACGAGCCCCTGCGCTGAGAGAACAAACATTTCAGCCCTGAAGCCGATCTTCATCCGCATACGTCACACGTCACATGACCAGGAAGCAGACCATCCATGTATTAGGAGATCGTTTTGGGCCGTTCCTGTAAAAAAAAAAGTGAGGCGCGAACCGGAAAAGCTTCTGCCGATCACAATTCAACAACAGATTATGAAAGAACGGATACCGCTGGAAACACACGGATTCTTCCTGATGTAAGAGGTAAGTCTCCGCTTTGTTTTGGCGTCAACTTCATCCTAGCGCGCAACATTCTGTGACTCTTAAAAAAACAGTAAAAACGGTGAGAAACGCTGGCAGCGAAGGCCGTTAGCGTTCAGGAAACGGCTGGCAGTGAATGAGTTAAGTGTGTATAAAAATATTAACTTTGTTTTTGTGTCCCTTAGAGACTGAGTATGGCCTGCGTTTGTGGCGGCTCCTGGAGAGTTGCCGCAAAGCTGATCTGCAGCAGGTTGCCGCCCACTTCAGTTTGCTTGTCCCAAAGCAGCTAACCAAAGATGCACTTCGACAGCTGGTGGTGGATTACCTTGAGACTCAGGGGACTCTACCTTCGCCATCCCCTCCTGGTGTGTCAGCGCCTCTCTCGGATGAAGGGGAACGGCCGGACTCAATGAAGGAGACCCCCGCCACCTTTCCGGGAAAATAATCTGCTGAAGGATCTCCGCCCACCTCCGCTTCGCCTGGAGCTAGCCCTCCTCGCTCCCCGCTAAGAGGAGCTCGACTTCAGCTACGCCTCGCTCGCCTTAAGATACAGGCTGAGGAAAAGACTCTCGAAATAACTCTCCGACACGAGATTGAACTGAAGCGCATGGCCACTGAGGTTCGCCTCCGAGAAACAGAACTTCAGATGAGGTCTCTGGACGCTGCCGCTTCCTCGAACCAGACGGCTGCCGACCGTCCCTCGCCCTCGTCTTCGCCTCCCTGTGCCGTGCACAGAGACGCCTCGCCATCTCCTCCGGGTCCCACATCGTTACCGCCTGCGTTTGACATCAGCAAGTGTATCTCCCTCCTTCCACCGTTTAGAGAAACTGAAGTGGATGAGTTTTTCCTTGCTTTCGAGCGGACTGCGGTGACTCTGCAGTGGCCTCGTGAGGTTTGGTCGTTACTCTTGCAGTGCAGATTCTCAGGTAAGGCCCTCCAGGTTATTTCTGCTCTGTCTCTAACGGACAGCGCTAGTTATGAGTGTGTGAAGAATGCTGTTTTAAACGCGTATGAACTCGTTCCCGAGGCATACTGTCAGCGTTTTCGGTTAGAAAAACCTAGGCCTCACCAGAGTTATGTGGAGTACGCTCACTCTATGTCTGTGCTGTTTGATAAATGGTGTTCAGCTTCTGGAGTTAACTCCTTGGCTGACTTGAAGGAACTAATTTTAATTTTAATTTAATTTTAATTGAAGAATTTAAGAGACATGTGCCTGAGAGGCTAGCTTTGTATTTAAATGAACAGAAGGTTGGTTCTCTTTCTTCGGATGCCTTGTTAGCTGATGAGTTCGCTTTGACTCATTGGCCCAGAGAGTCGAAACCTGACTCTGTCCGAATAGTGAGACCCTCTCCTAAGCCGTCTGACCATAGTGACCTTCCAGATTGTATTCATTGTCACAAAAGAGGTCATTTTATTTGTGATTGTTATCTGCTCCAGCAGAAAAACAGGAGAGGTAGACACTCTCTCCAGGCTAAAGCCTGGTTTATGCTTCTCCGTCAGCTCCGCAAGGGACAGACAGGCACGGATTGACGGAAGCGTTTTGCCCTCATGCTTCTCCGTCTCCTGGAGAGTGTTGCAAAGCAATTGCCCGGCAGGACAACAGAGGGCGTAGCGCTGTTCTGTGGTATCCTGTCGTGTATCGGTCCAAGATCGTGTGTTTATATTGTGTTTTTTTTTGTATATAAGAGACTTTTAACACAGACAAATTTGTCTCTCATTCTCCTCCACCTCTTCATGCGCGCGCCACCTCTAAACCCATGTTTCCTGTCATTTCCGTCCACAAATGAAATGCTTGCTGCACATCTTTTCACTCAGCTGAGACAGTCCCGTGTGTGTGTGTGTGTGTGTGTGTGTGTGTGTGTGTGTGTGTGTGTGTGTGTGTGTGTGTGTGTGTGTGGCCTGGAGGACAGAGGACAGGAGAACGCGCAGCTAATTAATAAAATAATGTGGTTCTGTACCTTTCTCTTCAGCACAGCCAACAAAGGTTCAAGATGGGTCAGTCCGTCAGCTTCACAGATCATTCCCTTCCCTTGCTTGAAACATTGTTCCAAAATGAAAGTTGAACCCACATCTTTTTTATCTGTGAATTCAATGCCGTTCGGAGAGTCTCAAATAAAAATTTGGGCATCTTACTGTAAAAAGTTATACCATTAATGTAAAAAAGAAACTCTAAAACAACTATGTTCACATCCAGAATCGAACCTAGGTCTTCTGCACGAGAGTCCGACGTCTAACTTGGTGAGCTACAGTGTTGGTAATGTCTTTCCTATCTGTAACATTTATATCCTTGATGACAGCTGAAACAACGTTCAAAGAGCGGTTCGGAGCGAAAATGGCTATTTTGTTGCTAATTTGCAGGAAATATCTAGAAGAAAGTAGCTAAGGGTCCTCAGAAATGTAGCTAGCTTTGTCACTAGGCGTTAGGAACAGCGACAAAGTCGCTGAGTTGGCACTGCCTCTCTCTCTGCTGCTAAAGCTACGGATAGCAAATGCTACGGGCTATGCCTGAGTGTGAACGTGCATGAAGCAGCCTGCTCGATCCGAGCATCTCTCTTTTTCTGTGATTTTACAGAAAAACAGGCAATCGCAGTAAAAATGCCAGGGCTCATTCTACAGGACCAGGGCATTGCAGGAGAATGTATGAAGAAGAACTTTATTATTTCTATACATGTTTTGGCTGTCAAACTTCCATAATGTCCCTTTAAAGATGCTTTTAGATATTGTAGAAACCACATGGTGCTTGGTTGAAACGTTAAATTTCAACAACAAAGATGCAGCAAACCTGCCCCCCCCCCCTCCACCCCCCCCCCACCCCCCAAAAAGGTGGTTTGATCCTTTTCCACTTTTCCCAGAGTCGAGGTCTGACAAGCCTTAACACATAGTTTGTGATTTATATTTATTTAGGCTCATTTGTTTTGCATCTGGGCTTCATAGGAACTGGTTTAGCTCAAAAACTAGAACACCTAGAACAGTATCCCCAGTTCCCTTCGCTGAGGGCTGGTATCCAGCTATTTCTTTAATTTGCATCTTGCTCTTATTTTACAAATGTGGCAATGCAGTTGTGTCAAAATGTACAAAACTGAAACTAATCTTACCCGTTTGGGCAGCTCTCTGGGTGCTCAGCACCCCTAAACCTCTGCTTCTAGCTACACCCCTGTTAAGTTCTATGCAAAACTACCTCATAAAACATTTGTGTCATTCTCAAGACTTCTGGTCAACACTAAAGATATTGTTTTCTCCAACTCAAATAAAAGCAGGGCATAAATTAAAAAGCGTGTGTTTCCTTCACGTTTGTAACTCATCACACTCACTTGCTGATGTACTCTCCTGTGAGGACCATGCTGCAGGTCTGACACCTGAAGCAGCTGACATGCCACTGTCTCTCCAGTGCCAGGAGAGACTGTCCCTGCTTGATCTCCGCTCTACATCCAGCGCAGTCTGCAAGAGCATGAAACAGAGAGGAAGACGATGCATATTGTCCCTGTGCAAAGTATGCAAACATATTACTTGTGCTATTTCCCTTAGGACCCCCCCCCCCCCCCCCCCAGCAGGTGTGACCATCCTTAACTGGGTAAAGCAAATGCTGCATTGCTGCAGAGTCAAACCACTGAAACAAGGGCAGCACTACATTAGTTTCTATTTGGAGGATGTTTGGCTTAGCTTGACCTTTTCTGTCCGGCTCCACTGCCTGTAAGAGAAGTGCTCAGGTCACCAGAGACCACCCCACACTGCTATGTCAGCCAAGAGAAACCGTGTTTTTCAGCAAAACTGCGGTTTATTGAATTAGGTTTCTGCCATGCCAAATAAATCTTTACTGTCATTTGGAGGTGCTCGGTGCGAAAAATGTGCCTACATTAAAAAGTCTAACTGAGTAGGGGAATTAAATCTGATGCAAAAAAATGCACCAGTGGATTTTTGATTTACTTTTTTACTGTTCAGATACTTTGAGGAAAATGAAAGTGCATAACTGTTCGATCATTTGAGCGTCAAAGCAAACAGTTCTATTAAAATAACACATTATATAAGAGGCAGCTGTCATTTTATATCACCTAAATGGCTCGAGTCAGTGAAAAACAAGGACGAACCTCAGCTGAACTACAGATCAGAGCAGTGCAGAGAAGCCTTGCTTCACCTGTCAATCACCGTGCTGCATCTGTTATATCGTTGGCATTTTCACACACGACTGTAAGCAGCACCAGGATGAGGGACATTTAGCTTCCAGAGATTTGAAACAAACTTATTTCAAACCCAAAAGCAAATATCGAGTGTTTCCTCAATAAGGTCATTCGTTGCCTTGCTGTTGAAGATGCAGCAGATAGAAGAGACCAAGGTTTGTTTCAACAGGACTGACAAGCTAACAGCTAGTCTCGATGTGGTCCAGACCAAAATGGGTTAACAATGTCTTAAAGCTAAATATGTGCAATAACCTGTTTGATTGTGACACCGCCACCCTGTATGTGATATAGTAGGAAAATAAAGATGTAAACATCGTCTTTTGTCCTTTTACTTGTTTTATTTTTCTTTATCCTTCTCTTTATCTAATGTATGCATCTTGCATCAGAAACCAAGTTGCTCTTTTTAATCTCACCATATATTTTGTACAGTGACAAAAAGAGCATTTATTCATTCATTCATTCACCTCAGAAGTTCATGCAAACTCCTTTTTCTAAGCTTTATTTGATCCCCTTTTAACTCTCACTTTCTTCTCTTCCATCTCTATCACTCTATCAGCCATCACCCTATCCCTCTACACCAGAGATCTCCATTCATCACCCGTCCCCCTCCCCGATGCACACCCTGTCCATCACCACAGTCCAGGAGCCTCATGTACCAACCGTACTTACGTACAGATCTGTGCGTGTATCGTGCGTAGGAACTACTTCACTCATTGTGTGGTAATCATCATTTTGTACTCGTGCATGGGAATGTTCCTAGATATAAGAAAACTTCAGACCATGCGTAGGAACAGCATGCAGTGGTAATTATTATTACTGTTATTATGAAGGATTTGTCAGAGCGTGCTCTCTGGAGTAAACGCGTTTCCGAGAGCACTGACAGGAGATCCGTCTGGAGCTATGCTTTGATTTGAGACCCTTTGTGGAGCGACAGATTAACCTCACAAATCCGATACCAGTTCTTACATTTTTTTCTACAACTACACAAAGCCCCCAGAACCTCCTCCGCTCACCGAAGAACGCAGGGAATTCCTTCACATGCTGAGGGCGTAGCGTGACCAAACGTGGTGAATTCAGGGCGTTTCCGTGTGTAAATGTCTACGAACAGGCACGAGCACCTGGGCACGCACAGGAGGGGTTTATCGTCAGATGATTGTGGAGGAACATGCATACGAGAGGCCACCGCGTGTTTCATAAATCTGATTTTGACAGTTCCTAAGAACATTCTAAATTTCATTTGTAGGAGGGAATATAGGTTTCTACGAAGGGTCGATAAATTCAGGCTCCAGGTGAAGAACAAACTACAGAAATCAAGGAGTGTAAAGCTGCAAGACCAGGCGGCATCAGCTCCAGGCTCCTGGGCTGCTGTGCAGACCAACTGTCTGCATGTTTAACACGAGCCTAAAGCTGGGGAAGTACCACAACTGTGGAAGGCCTCCTGTGTGGTACCATTGAACATCCAGGGATGCCATCAGCCATCTTTGATGGCATGGTTTGTTGGGGTAGCAGCTTATCTATGGCTATGAGACAGATATTAGGGGTGTTTCTCAATGTGAAGGCGCCTAGCCTCGACTTGACATTGAGCAAATGAAAGCAAGGCTCTCAATTTACTGATCAATTTACGATCCAATCCTCACCTATGGTCACGAGATCACGGATACAAGCGGCCACAATGAGTTTCCTTCACAGGGTGGCTGGACTCAGCCTTAGGGATAGGGTTAGGAACTCAGACATCCGGGAGGGACTCAGAGTGGAGCCGCTGCTCCTCCACATCCAAAGGAGCCAGTTTAGGTGGTTCGGGCATCTGGTCAGGATGTGCTTGGATGGCCTCCTGGACTTCTCCCTCGGCAGTTGTTTTGGGCATGTCCTGCTGGCAGGAGACCCCGGGTGAACCCAGGACAGCATGGAGGAAATACATCTCTAGGTTGGCCAGGGAACACCTGGGTGTCCCAGCTGAGGAGCTGGTGGACGTGGCCGGAGAGAGGATTGCCTGCCTTTTTATTTTTATTATTATTATTATTTTTCTTCCTGGCACTCGAGGAGTACAGACGCTTCCCTTTTTCACTCCCTTATCTTTTTTTTTCCCAAGGCTCTTTGTCCTGTCTGCCCACAGAGCGCTTCTCTGCATTTCTTCTGAAAAACTCTTATTTTTTACTAACCATGGATTTGATAAACTAGTCATTCAATGTGATTGATAAGATTTTTTCAACAATGAGAACGGAGCAGGGGGCTCCCACACGTCCACAGGGGACGCACCCAGTGGGATGAATTTTGGATTCCTGTAAGGAGTGGAAGATCATATGCCTCTCCCAGCTGTCCATTGAGGACATCGAAGATGTGTGGATGTTTGGCCTGATGATCACTGGATTTCTCCTGATTGGAGTGGGAGGATATCTGGTTTTCTGGAAATTTGGGAAGACGGGAGCGATTGGAGGGTGACCCGCACCCGCGGAAAGCACCGTCCATGTGTAGACTTCTCAGACTGGGATGTTACTCGAGGTGAACCGTAAGCTGGACAATGTTCTAGCTGCGATACCGGTATTAGTGCGCAAAATGGATGTCATCTCGGAGAGGGTCACCAGACGGTATGGACAAGCTTAAAACCCAAAACTGGCATCACTGAAGGACTGGAAATGATCAGTTTGAAGACTGAAGGCAGAGAGGAAAATCATCTCAGCCTGACCCAAACAAATTCTTGTTATCTGAATCTGACGCCCTGGTAGCCTCGAGCGGCAACAAACCCCCACGAAGGAATGCAGACAGATGCAGTGAAACCCGAAACCCCCCCACCCACCCCACCCCCACCCCCCGCCTTCGGATTGGTGGACTTCAGCCTGGCGAGGTCATCAGCCTGCTGGAGTCAATGTGCTCTTCACTTCTCCCAAGATCTCCCTCCCACCTGTGACTGTACAGCAGATGAGCGCCGTAGATGGCTGCTCTCGCTGGGGGAAACAGGATCCCAGCCCCCCACCCCCCCACCCCCGCCTTCCTATTGGAGTCTCATGTTATGTTGTGTTGTCTGAAGTCTGTTGCATATCTGTTGAGGTGTTTTTTTTTTTTTTGCAGAGCAAAGCTGCCATCCTGGTGGGAGGGTATCTCTGAAGTGCCTTTTTTCCCTCCACCTGAACCAATCCTCATGTAACCCTCTTATCTCTATGAAGGTAGCGGAACTCGGGTTGCGAATGACCATAGTCGCCAATTCTTGTCATGTGTCTATGTATGTATGTCTGATCTCTGAATTGTGTGTACTGAAACTAATTTCCCTCTGGGATTAATAAAGAATTGATTGATTGATTGATTGATTGACTGATTGATGATTGATTGATTGATTGATTGATTGATTGGATTGATTGATTGATTGATTGCTTGATTGATTGGGAGGCCCTAATTGGGATCCTGCCCCCAGAACCCGGATCCAGGATAAGTGGAGGAAGGTGATGTGAAGGTGTTTTCTTGGTGTCTACCCTTTGTTTTTACTATCCTGTTTGCTCTTGTAATGAATGTAATTGCTGCCATGACACCACAATTTCCCCTCTGATGGACAATAAAAGGATTTTCTATTCTATTCTATTCTATTGTTAAACAATTTTCAATTTAAAAAAATAGCATTTCATCCAATTTTTGCCAGACTAATGATGTGATGCAAAACTGATATTTGAATGTGCTACCATGACATTTAGTGATTAAAACTCTTAGTAATTCACTGTCATGCTCAAACTAGCCTTTAGCTCATCAATCCAGACAGAACCATCCACACAAACAAAAGGAATGTAAGCGATGCAACCCTTGGTGGTTTGAGTCATTTTCCCGTCACCTATAGCGGTCAAAATTAACAGGGATCAGAGTACTCCCCCACCACACACACACACACACACACACTGTTTGCTGCTGTGTCTACCACGGTGGCTGTATTATACTTAACACCCGGTGTCCCGTCTCACACAGCATTTCCTCATAACGCTGAGTGATGAACACGTACCTGGGCAGCCGTTTATTCTCCTAAATGGAGCAGTCTGAGATACACAGTTATTCACTGCTACTTCACCATCTGCTCTAACTGCACAGGCAGCGGGATGCAGCCTGCTGTCTGTCTGACACGCTCAATAAAAAGAAAAATAATGACTATCAGCCCCCGTCGCTCACTTGCATCATCACAATTTGTCATATTTTCTTGCTTTATGCCGAGAAAAATGAGACAGCCTCAGCTCTTTATTGATGTAGTTAAACACCTACAAAGGATTGTTAAATTTCTGTTTGTTTGGTGCTGATGCTAAATGCCTTGTGTCTGTGTTTGCTGCATAATAACCAGCTGAACAGGCCTTGTGGACACATTGCATTAGATCTGATGCACTGCAGCGCATGGTGGCCTACACAGAAGAGACGGAGCAGGGCAGAGCGGCGGACGCTGGACTTACGGCTCGGCCCGTGGATTTTGATGGGTTCATTTGGCTTGACAAGGGTGTGGGAGCACTGCTGGCACACGCAGTCCTTTCCGCTGAATGTCACCCTGTCTCCGATTGGAAAGGGTTTACTAAGAAGAAAAAATAGAGTGAAGGTTAGAAATCTTTTCATCATAGAAGATTATAAAGAGCATAAAATGTTCTGTGTTCACAAAGAGGTCTACAGGAAACACACGAGGGATGACAGAAGCATTAAGGGGAAACAGGCAAGCCATAATCCCCCCCCGACACAAGCTGAATGCAGTCTGACATCCTCTGTGAAGCTGAAAATACATTTGCAAACAGTGGTGATGACGGGTTAATAGGAGGTTGGTTGGGACAGGAGCACCTGGCCTTTCTGTGAATCTACAGGTGATAACGGGCAAGAGGCACAACTCTCTCTGACGGAAGTTGTTAGGGAGACTGCACGGAGTGCATACTGATCTCAGCCGCATGGCTTGCACAAGCTACCGTAGGTGTAAACACTGCACTGCCTTGGTTATTTCAAACATAGCTGCAGCTGCAGCTCACCAGTTATTCAGAACAGAACGTAGTTTTTACAGCATCTTGGAGTTACCCGGGCCAGCGGGGGGGCCTGCTATTAGGCCCATGATGATTCTGAGCAAGTACAAAACGTTCACAAAAAGGTCGTGGTGGTTTCCTATCGCCATCGCAGCATAACGGAGAGAGAGACATGCTAATGTCATGAGTGTGCATGACGAGGTTGTCATGGGAACGTAGGGTGAACATATAACATGTCACTGCAGACAAGCATCTTGGGGGCACTTTCACAATTGCCTTCACAGTAATAAACTGAATATGTTTGCGTTGTCGAGCATTAGTCATGTTTCCACTCTAAGAGTTCTGAGGTTGTAAAGTGAACAGGAGAAATGATGGCTCGCTCCTCTGAGCCACTGTGTCTCGGTACAAAACCAGTCCTTCAGGACTTTCCTTTATTTCCTTCCACCAGCAACTCTTCCTCCTCCAGATGAACTCATTTGCCGTATTTCAACAGAGTAAAATGTTTAATGTTTGGCGCTGATCAGTGACATCACTCTCTGTCGAAGCAGTCACAATATGCCGACGTCTGTGCAAAGTCCTGAAAGAGCTGAATCTCTACGGAAACGCAGCGGCTGAACGGACCGGGCCATCCCAGTTCCGATACCGGAAACGCCGTCGCCTGCTGGTGAGGGTCGGAGGGACCGGTGGCGCCAGCGTCCAGCAGCCTTGATAACGTCAGTGCGCTTCAGGGCAGCTGTGGCTCCAGTGTAGCTCATCACTACCAGCGTGTGAATGTGTGTGTACGTGGGTGGATAACTGGACGTGCCTTGGGGGGGTTGTAGAACCCTAGAAGGAAACACTACCATGAAAATGGCAAATACGTTCATGAGCTCAATTTTTAAGTAATCAATTATTTTATCATCAATTATTATTATTATTGATCCCATCATAAAACAATCAGTGCTACGATGCTCTTCTGTTCGACGCAGTACTGTATTAGTTTCAGGCCACACCACCCAGCTCTACTTCCTACTGATGGTGGTTTTCCACAGGAGAGCTCAGCTGGGTCTTAATTCAAAGGAAGCTACAGCTTCAGTACAAACAGTCACAGGCTGAGAACATGACAGCAGCACATCTATAAAACCAGATCTGCATCATGCACTACTTAAACGTCCTCCCCTCAGGAGACAAATGGATTTCTTTATGACTGGAGAGGATGATAGAATGAATGGGGAGCTAAAAGGCTTAGGGAAGGCTGTTTAAAAGACACAGACGACAGTAATCCTTTTACGTCCCCACCGACGCCCGCAGATGAAGCCGAGACTCAAAGGGAGGCTGGAGTCTCCAGCAGAGCTCCCAGTCAGAGCACACCCATGTGCTCACTGAGAGAAACCTGTCAAGGAGATCATCTGTGCATGTGGTAAGTTTAGATGGTAAAAAAACTGATTTGCTTCTTCAAAATGACAACTTTTATGCAGCAATGGACGAGAAATATCCCAGAACAGAAATGATTCAAATAAATACTTTGGACAAACACTAAGAGCATTAACCATTTGCTCTGGTCCCCAGGTTAACCATCTGTTGTAAAGTAAGACTCATTTATTACTACACACACCAGACAGATTTGAATGGAACAGCACTCAGAAAGGTCCAATAGAGCTCCGGACGTCACGCGACTCTCAGAGAGTAGACGCCATGTTGGCAGGCAACAAAGGTAAACAAAATGAACGCGATCCGCTTGGATTTTACTCCGTCGGAGTTTACTTCACACTTTAAAACCGAAGAAATTGTTTTATATAGTCAGAAATTAAATAGATTAAACATCTCCGACCCTTACCGTGCCCCTGGGATACTTTCTAAAAACGCCAGAAGCTGTCGGAGCGGACTTCTTACTGGACCTGGCTGGGGAACCCCTTGGGATTCCCCCGGAGGAGCTGGCCCAAGTGGCTGGAGAGAGGGAAGTCTGGGCTTCTCGACGCTACTGCCCCCATAACCCGACTCTGGATAAGCGGATGAAAATGGATGGATGGACAAATAACATAGATTTACATGTAAGTAGTTTAAATAGAGTGCTGTGCTGTTTGAATGTATAAACTGAACACCAAGAGAAATCACTAGTTTGATTGTTTTCCGTGAATAAAATAAATATGTCAGGCAGGAGCATCTCAGGATCTTTCTGAGATCTGTCTCGGTGAGACAGATAATAGCAATCCAAAGTGCTTTTATGTGTGATCTGACAATTGATCAACCATTGCTTAAAAATTAAATACATCTTAGCCGGTTAATTGCTGTGATCATAAAACACGTAAACGGCAGCACGCAGAAATCACGAGGAAATGTTTTACGTGATGTTTACTTGTTGCTATGAGTAATAAGACAGAAAAAGCCACGCCAAAATAAGTTTAGGAAGCCCACTAAGAATTGTAATAAAAGCATTTAAAATAAATACCATACACAGTTGAGGAAACGTTGGTTTAAGTACCTGATATGAAGTGGTCGCTGCATAAGTGAAATCCTTTACTCTCGGGATCCCACAGCTTCATTTTCGCCCGGTCACTAGTGCGTTTTATTACAATGATCCAACGTTTGCGGCGTTCGCGTCTGTTCTGCATCCTGGGGCACAACAGGAATCTACCATATTTCCCATTTGATTGAGTTTTCTGACAATAACAAATAGCCCAGCTGCGGGCTTCTGCATGACAATATGGCGCCGTTTCAATTTGAACTGTTGCATGCTGGGAGAAGCGATGTCAACTCCCGGAGCTCTATACAGGGTAGCATGTAAAATCCACGTTTTGGATTTCGTTTTCCTCAAAGAAAACACCCCCAATGTTTTTACTTGACTTCATTCATGCATTTTTCTGTCTCAGCTGCTTTCCTTCAGCTGTGCAAATTTTTCCAACACTATGCATTCAGCTGGATGAGGTTGTTGCTACAACGCTCCTCTCCCCGCCATTTTCAAGTCCAGATCCCTCCTCCCACAAATACAATACTCAGCCAATAACACGGATCGGTCCGACACTAACTATTGGACCATTCAGTTGTCGGTCTCGTCGAACCACCGCACTTATACACTACCCTGGGTCGTCCGTTCATTTTGCACTCGCACATTTAGCAACAGAACACCACCGATGCGAGTTTCCCTGCTCGATAATATCAGAGAAGGAGACCACTTTGCTACCACTTTTGACACCACATTGAGAACATAAACTGTAAGTGCTAACAAGTTGTACGAGATCCTGCAAGATCACATATGAAGATGGAAAAACAGATATAACTCCGTCATTTCTCAATATAATCAGATGTTGTGTTTTGGCAGCAAAAGCAGCAGGCGGCATGCATTCCTGGTAACGTTAGGCATCTCATTTGCTTCTAAAAGTACAGATTAACCACAGCGAGCTGCTTAACATAGCTGCTGATTTCCGTACACGTACATTCGTTTTGAGGTCTGGGTCCTGGTAGGTTTCCAAGCACGGTGGGCTAGATATTTTCCACGTCTAAGAGTCTGGCCACACGAGTCACAGCGTACGACTCAGGCTCCGAAACAGCTTTACTGGTGCAGAAAAGTGTTTTTGACCTTGCCTTCACCTCTCACTCCCAAAAGACTCTCCTGCCATGTCAGCCTTTCTCACTGCTTTAAAAATTTACTATACTTACATATTTAATGCCCCCCTCCCTCTTTTTTAACCACAAAAGTACTATTTCTGGTTTTTATGACAGCCCTTGGCTTCGATCACTTGGAGAAAATAACTAACTCTGGAAAATGATCTTTTATTAGAGCTGAATGACTTAGTGAGTCTCACAGTGAGAGGAGGAGAAGGACTAAAGGGGGACTGTTGAGGTAAAAGGATAACTGAGGATGAGAGGGGAAGCAGGTAGGAGTGAAAACGGGGAACGAAGTGACAGACAGGAGAAAAAAGGATCCCAGCACGTTTTAGCGGTCTCCTCCTGTTGTCTCAACAACACCATGTGTCACGGTCTCCGGTCAGTCCACGTCACTTTGTATTTTTCCCGTTTCTTTTAACCACATCTGCCAACGTTTAACAATTCTTCAGCAAGCGCTCGGCTGCAAACCTAAAGGTCTCCTCATGGAAAACCTACAACTCTTAAAAATAGGTGAGGGTGAGGTGGGTAGGTACACATAACCTAAATATGTGAGTTTGTTTATCTGCAAATTGAGAAGGAAGAATTAAGCAAAAAATAAATACATTTAAAAAAAGATGGGATTACCCTGAACATGAATAAAGGCCAGAGACGTGGCCTTCTTCTGCTAAACTGAAATGTGTCTTTCTTATGGGGAAACATAAAAAACTGTCAGGATCAAGGAGCACGCAGAGCTTGGCTGGCATTCATCTTTAAACCTCATATGTTTCTTGCTTCTGCTTCTGACCTGTGCAGCGACATTTCCGACAGAACTACAAGAAAAAACACAGAGTCATGGCAGAAGAGAAGAAAGCCTCAATCTGTTCTACACTCCTGCTAGCATCATGTGAGCCAGCTGTGCTTTATCCTAACACTGAACAGTACAGACGAAGCAGTCAAGTGGTGTGCACAGGACAAACGCTTCGCTCGCAGATACATCTGAAGGGTA